GGAAAGAGTACTAAACTCACAATGTTATGTCACACTCACTCACTGTTTAATATAATTACAAGAGTGACGTCATGCGGCTGCTTCTTTGGTTTTGCCTTGGATTCCACATGATTAAATATCATTTAACATCATTTTTGGTAAATTTTATGTTTGGTTTCATTGAGGAATTTGATTTTAAATTTAGAATTGATTAAGTAACTTTTTTGTGTTAAATCAAAATATTATATTAAGTTTTACTACCGACTTATTTTTATAATAAAAGCATTCAAGCATAAATCACATAATTCTAAAATTATTTTGTAACTAAGTGCGTGTTTGAATTTTCGTTGGTGATGCACATTTTAACAATTTTTCACGTCAAAACGTACTAAAAATAACAAATAATTATTTCTTTGATCCATTGAGATTTGTGGATGAGAATCCAAACATGTACCAAAATGAGATTTTCAAAATCAATTTTGTCAACACCTATTCAAACACACAAAATTAAATATAAGTTTACAATTGATGTAAAAATATTTGAAAATTATTAAATAAGAAATGAAAGAAGAAGAAGAAAGAAGAGATAGAAAATTTTGTATTATTTGAATAAATAAAAATAAGAAAAAATAGAAAAAACTATTTTCGCTTATTTGAATGAGTGAAATAAAAGTGAAAGGAAATAAATTAATCATAAAAATATAATAATTGAAAAAATAATTTTGTGTCTGTTTTTCTCGTCATAAAATTACTTTTTTTATGTTATAAAAATATTTTTTATTTCTGAAAATAAAAAAGCATGTAAATCTCCTCCCCACTTTCACTCCTCGTTCTATCACTTTTCTTATCCTTTTTTCAGCAATTTTTCATACTTATGTAAAGTGTAAATTATGTAGTAGGTTAGAGTTTTTTTTTTTTTTTTTCCAGTCATTGTGTCTTTCTCCCATCTATTTTCTTTTCATTGAAATGTCAAATGTAGTGTTAATGTTCTTGCCTTTTATTTCCCTTACAAATTATCCTGAATTAAACTTCAAATTTAAAAATAACTACTTAAATGTCACCGATTCAAGCTTGCATGGATAGTTACGATGAAATTATTGATTAAACCGAGTCAAACTCTTTGAAAGTTCCAAAAACAAAAAAGAAGACTATTTAAATTATGTAGAATATTTAAAGATAATACTTCCTATGTTATTATTTATAAAACTCAACTTATAATAATAATTTATTTTTTATAGAAAATTCAATTCATATTATCTTATATATTAATTATTTTTAGACTAAAATATATTCAATTAAAATATATTTTCTTAATTTAGTAAAATATATTAATTATAATATCTTTAAAAATTATGCACGTTAATTAATTAGGAGAAAGATAAATATTATCTAAGAGATAAATAATATAAAACATACATTAAAAAAAAGAGTATTAATTAAAAAAAATAATATAAGACATGTACTCTAATTAATTAAAAAATATATAAATATTAATTAAAAAAAGTAGTATAAGAATAATTTTAAAAAATATAATACAAATAAAATAAATGTTAATATCAACTAAATTAATTATTTTTTTAATCATGATGAATTAAGTAATTTAATTTTACATGTGGGGATCAGAATAATGCCATAATGCCACTAGTTAGGATTCTCCCTTTTTACTCTTAATATTTGAAATTTAGTAATAAAAGAGATAGACACGAGTGTTGTTAGGATTTAGGAAGTTTACCAACTTCATTTACATACATATATATATATATATATGAAAAAGATTTAACTCGTCAAAGCATAAAGTGTAGTTTTAACAATTTAAAAAACAGTATAGGTAATTTTTTTCAAATAGGACATGCTCTTTATCAAAATTGGGCACGGAATTAACAGGAAAAGATTTGAATTCTGGTGCTTGAGACGCACAAACACTTTGAAGAACCAAAAGTAGATAGAATTAATTATTGTTGAAGCATGTTGAAAAGAATACCTGTAGAGTAGTAAACTAAAATAGTTCAAGTACATCACATAATTGTCAGCAATATCTCGTCCATTACTAAGAATGTGGTTTTCAAACAAAACTACATGATGCACTACTGAGATCCCCACATGATTAAATCCCCCATTAACCAAGTAAAGAAAAAGTGCAATTTTTATTAATCAGGCAAAACCGCAAGGAAGCGACCCTTATGGCTCATAGTCAGAAGTGAGAAGCACACAAGCCAAGAAGCTATGTACTGATTGGTGCAAAAATGTAACAAGAATGAAGCAGTAACAGTAATTCTAAATATCCAATGAAATGACTAAATTAAATGTCGACTAGATGCCGCATATGATACAGTCAAAGTTTTCTCTCAGCCTACACCTACAATTACAAATGAATCTTAAGTCTCAAAAATAAAATTGAAGCAAAAGAAGTCGTACCAACTCAATTACCCAAGCTGTCCAGGAAGCTTTGCAATTCCTTCAAACCTTCAGCAGAGAAGCTCCGTTGCACTCTAGAGCGCGGCGCCACCAAGTTAGGAGGAGGTTGCTGCTGGAAGCATACCACAACTGCAGCCAAATTGTCTCCACTTTTTCTCTTTAAAGCCTCATCAACCAGATCCTTACTACACATGGTTGGGTCGTTATGTTCCTGAAGCCTGCGCCGAGCAAAATCCACTGCATTTTGGCTCCTAAATACATCCCAAATCCCATCACAACCTATGATCAGAAATTCATCCTCAGCAGTCAGTTTTGTAGTCATAAGTTCAGGTTCTGCCGTCAGTGGTCCACCTTCTTTGCTCTTCATTCCTTCCATGTGCCAGTCACCAAGTGCACGAGCAACATTAAGTTGTCCGTTAAGATATCCATCATAAACATGCCCCCCAGATGCCTCAATGCGCTTCTTCTCTTTGTTGCAAATCGGTTTGTGATCTCTCGACATTTCAATTGCTTTTCCACGACGGCACAGCACAGCACGACAATCTCCAGCATTTGCCACCACCAGCAACCTGCAATCAGAAACTAAAATCATCATGTAACTTATCAAAGGTATGTAGTTAATTAATGTCATGCCAGTTTTATTTTGGAAATGGAGGAGCATGAAAATGAAGCATTGGGCCAACTTTTGTGGCAGGACAAAATGCTCCTGACCCTCGTTCCATTAGCTTACGCCTTTTGTACTTGTTCCAAAACAGTGGAAACTTACTCAGAGAAATAAATAATATAATTTTGGCACTATTTTTGAGGAAAAACACATATGTATACCCAGATTATTAAACTTCAAAATCCTAACCTTCCTATTACAAGAGTGGCTAATGCAGTGGTGCCAGATGCAAGTGTAGCATCCAGAGAGCAAGCATCTGCAAAGGCATTGTCTGTTTGCAAAAATGCTGAAGAAACTATCCTTTCAATATCTCTAGGGAAACCTTCGTCCTCAAGAATGAACTTTGGTAGGTGATGGCAAGCAAAGTCAGCAGCATGCTTTCCACCGTGTCCATCAAATACCTGACCAAGCCATCAGCCATAATGTTACCCGACTTTCACAACAGTTTTCAAACAAATGCAAGAAACGAAAATGGTATTCTCTGTTCTTGTCAGATGTTAAAACTCCAGGATCCGCAATATTGTGTCTAAAATGTGTTTAAGTGCATTCGTCAATAGCCCATACCAAAGTTAAAGCAACACATTATTACCAGAGAAGATGAGCATGTGAAACAGATGTCATCAGATATGTGGAATGTAAGAGTGAAAGAAAACAAAGAAATAAAATAAAATAATGGTGCCTGAAAATGACAATGAATAGAAACCACACAGAAAAACTAAAATTCATTAACACAATAATCAGTACTCCAATCAAGTTAAGCTCCAAGAATCGATATATACCCCATAGAAAGCACTGGGTCCATCTATATGGTTCTCGAGCCCATAATCCTGCATAAAATTGTCGACACAAACATATACATCTTCCATACTTGACCGGAATCCAATATCAGCACATGCTCCAGAACGAAGCATTGGAAAGAAATCAGACTGACCATCTTCAGTAACAAGCCCCGGATCAGCAGATACATCAGACAACTTTGTTTTCATCTGCGGATTTTGCAATAAAAATCAGAAAAACAACAAATGAAAAGAAAAATGTAAGGAAAAACAGCTTTTCAAAGCAGAAAGGAACATGGAACTCCAGAAATAGCACTACCAACAGCAGTCATTACTAACTAATAACAAAACTGTAAACTACATCAACAAGAAACTACATAGAAAATGATGAACAATTACAAAAGAGCCAAAAAAGGTTAGAACACCCGAGGTACCCATCTAACTAAATTTCTAACAGTCTATTCCTACTATTAAAAACAAACAAAAATTGGTTAGTAGCATAAAATTGTTTTAGAAAATAAAATTTAAAACCAAAAACTGGAAAATGAATCAAACACACCCTTACTCCCTGACAAGAAGGAACAATGTGTATAATCTTCTTCACTTGATTTTATATAATTTACTACCTCCACGATCTGACCAAACCAACCCATCATTGGATTACTTCTCCCAACAAAATTTCCTTCTATCCTAAAACCTAACCTACGTTACACACACTAATAAAAAAAAAAAAAGGAAATATAATCCATAAGCTAAAACTACTTGCACATATGACTCAGCCATTGCAACAACTTTCCAGAAACACTCACTGCATCAAAATGGCAAATGGCAAGGGAAAAGAAAAGGAAAAGGAACGGTGTTAAAAATTGACAAATATAGATAGTAGAATCATTTCAAGAAACTGAATAACTACCATAAGTGTTCAAACAACAAAAGCATAAATTATTCTATTCATGTCTAAAAATACCAACACACAGTAACACCACTAGCATAAAAAACATATATATATAAAATACACATAATTAAAGGAAAAAACAATTACATGAAAGAAGAACTCACAAGAGAAGCGTGGCGAACAAGTTTGCATTGGCGATATGAAGGTGGGTTGGGATTGGGAGGTCGAGTCTCACTAGAGCTCCTACTTTCACTTTTACTGCAACAATTGAGCCCTTGAGTTTCCTCCATGCTTCTCCACCATAAGATCCCAGTGAGTACAAATCGGAATGGGTTGGACCCAGATTGCAAAAAGCTAAAGGGTAGCTAGAAGGAGTGCAAAAATTAGGTCTTTTTGGAGTTAGGTTTGGTGGGTGGGACTCTGCGATTCAAAGGGAACATGGTGGCGCAAATGCAGGGATTGGTGAGAAGGGATTTGCGTATGCGTAAACGAGTGGCTGGCTACACACAAATGTTGTGAAGAGAGATTCACCGTCGTATCTGGAGGCGGTGGTCGGTGGTGCTTCGTGACGACGTCGTATCTCTATGAATGTAACGTTTTCAGCTTTGTTAACGGCAAGGGACCTTTTTCCAGAGCTACGCATCTTTTTCATAACCCCATTAATGCAAAATAAATACTAATATTATTAAATATCTTTCTTTTTCTTTTTCTTTTTCTTTTTCTTTTTCTTTATTTATGTGTATAATAATAATAATTCAGGGGATCTCAAATCTGAATACGGAGTGATTGATGAGTTGCATTTTGCCATTTTCTAGTTTTAATAATGTAGAAATATCAACTACAATGATCATTGGATTTGTTTCCAATCACGAACCCCTTCTTCAGTCAACATCATATAAGCATCCAACTTCCCTATATTACTCTCTTTTTTTCTTATTTAATTACTTTAATTCAGTTACTTTATATAGAAAAAAAAATCAATTTCATTCTTTAATATTTTCAAAATAATATAATATTATCATTTTCGTTTCATTTAAACTAACCATCTTATTTTTTCTTTATGTGTGAAAAAGTATTGTACCTCGATATCTATTTTTTATATAAATAATTATTTTTTAATAAGATTTAATTCATATCATCTCTTATATTAATTATTTTTAAATTAAAATAATATTAATTAAAGTGTGTTATATTAATTTAGTATAATGCATTAATTATTTGTTTTTTAAACATCATTCACTAATTGGTTAAGAAAAAAATGAGAGATCAAATAAATAATATAACACATGCACTCAAAGTGACTACAAGATATAAATATTAATTAGGAAGATAAGTGATATAAGAATAATGTAAGATAATTATGTCTCATGTGGAAAATATGTAATATATAAAGGGACTAATAAATAATTAAATAATTAAAGACTAAATCATAAATGGGTTTAATGGAGCATTTATGAGAATAATTGTTATTTGATGGAAATAACAATCTTTAGGGATTATAAATATCCACTAATGTGAGACAAGGTCCACACCCCTGACAGAAAGTATTCTCTCAAACCCTAGCCATCACGAAAGATAGAGAGAGTAGAAAGAAAAGTCAAAGGGAGTGAAATCTTGGTTCTCTTCTCAAGAAGATCAAAGCACTCTAAGGATCAAAGGAGTTTTCTACTATGGAGAAAGGTACACACTTTCTTATTATTATGTGAGTATCATGAATTTCAAAGATCCTTTAATTTTCTATAATTGATGTATTAGAAAATCATAGATTTACATGTGGTATCAGAGCAAGGTTTTGAAATTGAATGATCCTCCGTGAATGATATGTGTTGTAAAATTGTATAATTCTCCATGAATGTTATATATATACATATATAACGATTTTGCAATGATCCAGAAGACATTGTCAAATCAAGAAATTTCAAGCAATATTTTCTCACCAGAAGTGAGATAATTGTACAATAATGAAAAGAATATTTTCTCACCAGAAGTGAGATAATTGTACAATAATGAAAAGAATATTTTCTCACCAGAAGTGAAAAGAATATTTTCTCACCAGAAGTGAGATAATTGTGCAACAATGAAAATAAAAGGATATTTTCTCACCCGAAGTGAGATAATTGTACGACAATGAAAATAAAAGAATATTTTCTTCACCTGAAGTGGGAAAATATTATGAAAAGTGAAAAGAAAAAGGATAGATAAATAAACGAATATTATATAAGTGTTATGTTTGATCCTTTGAGTACCACCGGAAGTGGAATAATTCTATCAAGGTCATTGTTGCAATATTATGTTTAATTTTCCGCTGCATGTTGTTTGTTTTGGATCATGAATGTAATTCTTAATTTTGAAATATGATCAATATATTAAATTTTACATTATCGAAATCCTAGTGGTAATCGCGTAAGAATTATTTTCTTGAAAGTTTCCTTTTTTTTTCTAAAAATACTAAATTTGTATTTCTAATTGGAAAGAATTTTTTTTTAAATCAAATCTTGGAATTAATTTTATGATGAATTTGTTAGTCACCAAAGTGGCCAGATTTTATATTTATTTTAATTCCAAATTAATGGTGATTTAATTCAATTACCCATAGAATAATGGATGCTAAATAAAATAATTGTTTGTTTATGGGTATATTGAAATTCATTATTATAAGACATTTATGTATCGCCCAAAGGTTGATTAGTTGTTCTCATAATCAATGAATATAATTGTGTGTGACTTATGTGTGCTATTAGATTATTTATATATCCAAAGGTATTAGATAATTCTAATTGGTGCATGTTTAGTTGCAAAATAATGATTAAATTTATTAGCATCATTATGTTTGTATGTTGTATGTTGATGTATCACCCAAAGGAGAACATCAATATACTATTAATTGATGTTTGAATATATTATATGTGTAGCATGTATTTTATGTCTCAAAACACTCATATAAAAAAAATTTTATTATGCAGTATCTGTTCCCAATTCACTAAATTCTCTTGTAGCGTCTGTTCCAATTTTTAATGGGCTTAATTTCTCTGACTGGAATGAGCAAGTCCAATTTCACCTCGGTGTTTTGGATCAAGACCTTGCTATATTGGAAGAGAAGCCTGCTACTATTACTGATTCTAGTAGTAATGAAGAAAAAGCCTATTATAAAGCTTGGGAAAAGTCTAACAGACTCTGCCTTATGTTCATGAGAATGACTGTTGCTGACAGTATTAAGACAACTCTACCCAAAACTGAAAGTGCTAAAGAATTTATGGGTTTTGTGGGAGAGCGCTCTCAAACAGCTGATAAGTCTCTTGCTGGGACACTAATGAGTACACTGACCACCATGAAGTTTGATGGTTCACGTACTATGCATGAGCATGTCATTGAGATGACAAATATTGCAGCAAGACTTAAGTCCTTGGGAATGGCTGTGAATGAGAATTTCCTTGTACAATTTATTCTTAACTCATTACCGACTGAGTATGGGCCGTTTCAAATGAGCTATAATACCATGAAAGACAAATGGAATGTGCATGAATTGCATAGTATGTTGGTTCAGGAGGAAACGAGACTTAAGAATCAAGGAAGTCACTCAATTCATTATGTAAGCCACCAAGGGAATCAAGGAGCTGGAAAGAAGTTTGTTAAGAAACATGATAAGGGCAAAAAGCCATTAAAGATTAATGAGGCATCTGTACCAATCCAGAAGAAAGCATCAAAGGGTAATAATTGCCATTTCTGTGGGAAATCTGGACACTTCCAGAAGGATTGCCCAAAACGTAAGGCTTGGTTCGAAAAGAAAGGTAAGCTTAATGCTTATGTATGTTTTGAGTCAAATTTAACTGAAGTTCCCCATAATACATGGTGGATCGATTCTGGATGTACGACTCATGTTTCTAATACGATGCAGGGATTCACTACAATCCAAACCATAAGCCCAAATGAGAAGTTCGTCTTCATGGGGAATAGAGTGAAAGTTCCAGTGGAAGCAGTTGGGACTTATCGTTTAATCCTTAACACTGGACATCATTTAGATTTATTGGAAACTCTTTATGTACCTAGTTTATCTAGAAATTTAGTTTCATTATCTAAACTTGATGCTATTGGATACTCTTTTACTTTTGGTAATGGATGTTTCAGTTTATTTAAGCGTAATCATCTCATTGGTACTGGTATTCTTTGTGATGGTTTATATAAATTGAATTTAGATGGTTTGTATGATGAAACCCTCTTGACTCTGCATCATAACATTGGTACTAAACGTAGTTTAGTAAATGAACGTTCTGCTTTCTTGTGGCATAGACGTTTAGGTCACATTTCTAGAGAAAGAATGGAAAGATTAATAAAAAATGAAATTCTTCCAAATCTAGATTTTACGGATCTAAATATTTGTGTGGATTGTATTAAAGGAAAACAAACAAAACATACAAAGAAAGGAGCTACAAGAAGCACTCAGCTTCTTGAAATTGTGCATACCGATATATGTGGTCCTTTTGATGTCAATTCTTTCGGAAAGGAAAAATACTTCATTACCTTTATAGATGACTATTCACGTTATGGTTATGTCTATCTATTGCATGAGAAATCTCAAGCAGTCGATGCCTTAGAAATTTACTTGAATGAAGTAGAAAGACAATTAGACAAAAAAGTGAAAGTTGTAAGATCTGATAGAGGTGGTGAGTATTATGGAAGATATAATGAAACTGGGCAACACCCAGGTCCATTTGCTAAACTTCTTCAGAAACGTGGCATTTGTGCTCAATATACAATGCCAGGTACACCACAACAAAATGGTGTATCAGAAAGGCGTAATAGAACATTAATGGATATGGTTAGGAGTATGTTAAGTAATTCAACTTTACCCATATATTTGTGGATGTATGCCTTGAAAACTGCCATGTATTTGTTAAACAGGGTTCCTAGTAAGGCAGTTTCAAAGACACCTTTTGAACTGTGGACTGGTAGGACACCTAGTTTAAGGCACCTACATGTTTGGGGTTGTCAGGCAGAAATAAGGATTTATAATCCACAAGAAAAGAAATTGGATGCAAGAACAATCAGTGGATATTTCATTGGTTATCCAGAAAAATCAAAGGGGTATATGTTTTATTGTCCTAATCATAATATGAGAATTGTTGAAACTGGAAATGCAAGGTTCATTGAAAATGGTGAAGTTAGTGGGAGTACAATTCCACAGAAAGTGGAAGTCAAAGAAGTTAGAATGCAAGTTCCTTTGACTTATGCCTCTGGCAATAAAGTAAGTGTTCCTCTAACTGTTGAGTCAAACAACAATGAAGAAGAGCAACACAATAATGAACCCATGATTCATAATGAACCTATTGTAGAACAACCACAAGAAATAGCATTAAGAAGGTCACAAAGAGAAAAAAGACCAGCTATTTCGAATGACTATATGGTATATCTACATGAGTTAGAAAATGACTCAAGTATTAATGAGAATGATCCAGTTTCGTTTTCACAAGCTGTAAGTTGTGATAATTCTGAAAAGTGGTTAAATGCCATGAAAGAAGAATTAAAATCCATGGAACAAAATGATGTTTGGGACCTTGTAGAATTGCCAGAAGGTTGCAAGAGAGTTGGTTGTAAGTGGGTCTTTAAGACTAAACGTGACTCTGATGGCAACCTTGAAAGGTACAAGGCTAGACTTGTTGCTAAGGGTTT